GCACCCCCACCCCCGCCCCAGGGGCACAGCTGGACCCCCGGGGGCACCCCTAGCACCCCTAGACCCACCCCAGGAGCACAGCTGGACCCCCGGGGGCACCCCCAGCACCCCCAGACCCGTCCCAGGGGCACAGCTGGACCCCCGGGGGCACCCCCAGCACTCACAGACCCACTCCAGGGGCACCCCCAGCACCCCCAAACCCATCCCAGGGGCACAGCTGGACCTGCAGGGGTAAAGCCAGACCTGCAGGGGCACCCCTAGCACCCCCAGGCCCACCCCAGGGGCACTGCCAAACCCTCAGCACCCCCAGACCCACCACAGGGGCACAGCTGGACCTGCAGGGGTATCCCTAGCACCCCCAGACCCACCCCAGGGGCACTGCCAGACCCCCAGGAGCACAGCTGGACCCCCAGGGGCAACCCCAGCACCCCAGGGGCACAGCTAGACCCACAAACTTCTTCTCAGGGGCACCCCAGCCCCCCACCACCCCTAGATTCTTCCCCAGGGGCATTGCCAGACTCTAAGCACCCCCAAGCACCTCCGCAGGGACATGGTCAGACCCCCAGTGTCCCCAAAAACTATACCAGGGGCACCCCCAGACCCCCAGCACTCCTTCCAGGGACACAGCCAGACCCCCAAGACACCCCACAGGAGCACAGCCCCAGCACCCCCAAACCATATCCAGGGGCACAGTGAGACCCCCCAGGACCCTCAGCACACCCCCCAGGGGTGTAGCCAGACCCACAACCTCCCTCTCCAGGGGCACATCGAGACCTCCAGTACCCCTTAATCCCACCCACATGCACCCCTAAGAGCACAGCCAACCTCCTAGCCCCCCCAAACCCTACCCAGGGCCACACCAAGACCCCCAACTCCCCAAAATTCCCATAACCCCCTCCCCAATTTGTGATCCCACAGCCGGAGCCGACGGAGGAAGATATTGAGAAGAACCCAGAGCTGAAAAAGCTGCAGATTTATGGGGCTGGACCCAAAATGTTGGGACTGGGGTTGGTGGCCAAGGACAAGACCCTACGGAAGAAAGGTCTGGGATTGTTGTGGGGGGGGGACATAACCACTTTTTGGGGGACTCTGACCCCTGAAGTGGGGGAGGGTCACACACTTTTAGGGTGTCTGTGACCACCTGAACCACCTTCTGCCCCCTTGGGGTGTTTTGCAACCACCTTAAAGCATTCAGTGACACCCCCCCCGCCTCCTTTCCCCAATTCCTCACAGACAAGGAGGGTCCTGAGTGCCCCCCCACGGTGGTGGTGAAGGAGGAGCCTCCCCCACCCCCAGAAACCAAGGCAGAACCGGGGTCCCCCCGGGCCCCCCCGGAGGAGCTGCGCCACAGCCCCGAGCCCTGCACCAAGATGACCATGCGCCTGCGCCGCAGCCACAGCAGCAGCCAATTCGTCAGTACCTCTGCCTCACAAAACAAC